TTCTTGGTTTATCATACTTGTTTAAACTTCTTTGAAGTAATTGTTCGGGAGAGTTATCTGCTGGATTACAAATAATTTCGCCGTTGTCAAGTAACATGAAGAACGGAGCATTAGCGCTCTTTTTTTGCATTCTCAGTCTGACCAGAGTGTTTGCCGAAGAACAAACGACTCAACAGAAGAAAACCGTTGCGAAAAGAGACGAAGTCTTTTACAACAATGTTGGATCGGTGAAAAACTCCTACAGTATTGAAGAAGAGGACAGGAGTTCCAGGTCGGCTGAAAAGGAAGAAAATCAAAACATAAATTCTGAGAATAAGGGCGAATACTTATACTACGGTTCAGTTTACCCGAGGGACTTTGAAGGAAGGGAATACGAATTGAACTATCCCACTTATGAAGAATGGTATGGCCCCTTTGAGCCGCCTGAGGAATACTATCAGAACGTAGACGGAGATTACAAACATTCACTGTACTCTCGAGGGAAAAGAAGTGCATACTATGGTCCACGAGGGGGGGGGAGGTCTACCATGGACCCCGAGGAGGAAGATCTGTAGCAACTGGAGCTGGACCTCGTGGAGGGAGATCGGTTGAGAACGACAGTGGACCCCGTGGGGGTAGATCTGTGGAAAGTAATATTGGACCTCGTGGGGGTAGATCTGTGGAAAGTAATATTGGACCCCGTGGGGGAAGATCAGTGGAAAGCGACATTGGACCCCGTGGGGGAAGGAGTGTAGAAGATTCCTCTTATTTGTCAAATACAAACGTCGGGCCCCGTGGAGGAAGAAGTGCAGATGCCAGTGGACCAAGGGGTGGAAGAAGCATCGATAAATCAAGTCAGAAATCGGACGCATTGTCAACTGCAGAAACAGGGCCACGAGGCGGACGAGCAGTTTCAGACACAAAAAGCAAAGCGGATGAGGCTAACGGACCCCGTGGAGGACGAGATACCCAGTCTGCAACCAATGAGCAGAGGGGTGGTAGAGATGTGGGAGAAAAGGCCCCAGGGAGGAAAGAGTCAGGTCAGTTGAAAATGATGGCCCGAGGGGAGGTAGATCAGTAGAGTCCGGCCCACGGGGTGGAAGAGCTATTGATAGTGGCCCCAGGGGAGGGAGGGCTATTGAATACGGTCCTCGGGGAGGAAGATCTGTATTTTATGGCCCTCGTGGTGGAAGAGCGATAGAATACGGCCCAAGGGGTGGTAGATCAGTTGATTATGGACCGAGGGGTGGTAGATCAGTTGATTATGGACCAAGAGGTGGTAGAGCGATCGACTACGGACCCAGGGGTGGAAGAGCTATTGAGTATGGACCTCGGGGTGGCAGAGCAATAGAATACGGCCCAAGGGGTGGTAGATCAGTTGACTATGGACCAAGAGGTGGAAGAACAATCGACTATGGACCCAGGGGGAAGAGCTATTGAATATGGACCTCGAGGTGGTAGAGAAGTCTATTACGGACCCAGAGGAGGAAGGGATATAGATTATGGACCTCGTGGTGGGAGAAAATTTATTACGGACCCAGAGGTGGAAGAGCCATAGATTTTGGTCCTCGGGGAGGTAGGGCTGTAGATTACGGTCCCAGGGGAGGAAGGGCTGTCGAATACGGTCCCCGGGGAGGAAGGGCTGTAGAATATGGTCCTCGTGGTGGTCGTTCGGTAGATTTTGGCCCACGTGGAGGTCGTTCACTTTTATACGATGTTGTTTTTGGTCCAAGAGGGGAGATCCTTAGCGTACGAACCACGGGATAGAAGATTCGTAGAATCCGAGGGTCCACGTGGTGGAAGGGACACTGACTTTGAATACGGTCCCCGTGGAGGTAGAGACCTAGAGTATGTAGACGTCTACGGGCCTAGAGGAGGGAGAGCCGCTGGAGGAATTGACGTCGGCCCCAGGGGAGGTCGTGACCTAGAATATTCAGAAGAGGAAGGATTCTATGATTTTGGTCCACGAGGTGGACGGGCTGTTTATTTTGAGACGGGGCCACGAGGGGGTAGGAGTGTGGAATTCGAGACAGGACCCCGAGGAGGGCGAGAAGTGGAGTATGGACCCCGTGGTGGACAGTACCTTTACAGTGGGCCACGTAACGGGAGAGACATATCTGGACCTCGAGGAGGACGTAGTACCACTGTTGCGGAGATTTCAAACGGTCCACGTGGAGGACGTGACCTTGAAAATGGGCCTCGCGGAGGCAGAAGTGCCATGGCAGGCCCTCGCGGTGGAAGAGGCATCTTATCAGAAGGATCAATGTGGGCCGCCAGTTCTGGAGAAACTAATGATGGGCCACGGGGAGGGAGAAGCGTTGGCAAAAACACTGCTGACGCATCTGGACCTCGTGGAGGGCGAAGCACTGCTGAGAGCAGCACAGCTGTAAAGCGAGAGGCAACCACTGCAGGGAAAGAGCAAACAGTCGTTAAAGAAAGGCAGGAGAGGGACTCCAAGGAAGTAAACGTTGATACAGAGAAGGTCGATAAGAAGCTAACAAATTCGAGCTGAGCGCAAAGTCGCAACTGATGGTTTTGCTCAGAAATAAGGTAGATGCCGCTAAAATAAATTGATGCACCTTAAAAAAAGCATGAGCCTGTACCCATGTATAACCCAAAGTAATTTCACGAGGCAGAAAGTTCGTGTATATAAAGGCCTCAATGGGTGATGGCTTCTACAGTTAACGGCTAAAATTTTGGCCATTTTATGCCTAACGGTTATTAACCTTCTATTGTGATTAAAATGAAAACATTTTCACGGTCAATTTTTTTTTTTACGACTAACCGTGATTAAAATTTGTCAATTTTACGCCGTTTTTGGCCGTTTTACGGCTAACGGTCAACCCCTTTGAGACCCTCATAAATGGACACCTTGAAATTATGCTTCTCCACTCATACCTAATTGTAACAGCTTTGCCATAAAAAAATGAAAAAAACAAAAGAAAGGAAAAGCTAAATTGAAATTTATTAGAATATAGCACAAGCCCACAGCATTAGTATATGAACATATCAGTATATTTTTCTTCCAACAACATGTGATACTAGCTCTCAAAAATGTTTAAAAGAATTGATATGTGAAAATTCTGTGAAAATTGTTTGGTGCCGGGAATATGGACAGAGGTTAATTTATACGCTAATAAATTCCTATATGGCTTTTTCCCATTTTTATTTGTTTTGGGTTTTTTTGCTATGACAACGTTATTGCAAATAGGTATTCATCAGACAAATACCAAATAGTTGTTAAGAAGTTAACCAAAAACAAACAAACAAACAAAAAAACAGCCAGCAGAAGAAACAAGTCGCCAAGTTTTGGCCACGAAAAAATGCATGCAATGGCGGGTCATAATCTTGATGATAAGGTCAGTAGCTTTTCTGGTAATAAAAATCTAGCATATATTTAAGTCAAGTATAAACGTAGAACTTTACATGAGACGTACAAAATTGCAAATGTGGTCGACCGAAAAAGGGTAAAGTTCGACCGTTGGACCAAACGTCAAACATGATTCGTCGAACCAAATTCAGAGCACCCGAAAAAATCCCTTCGATCTGCTGGATTTCAAATTAAGTAATTTGCTATTTATTTATTAGGTTTGGTTTATGGAAAAAGATCGCGGTTTGTCTTACAATCGATCTTCACTCACACGCTCTATCCGTCCAAAGCAAACAGTCGATGTCGATTCAAATCAATTGGACGAACTCAACGGATTCAAACATCAAAGCTAACATTAACTAATTTCTCTCAGTTCAGACGTTTGAAGTCAGCCGTTTGAGGTTTTATTCTTTTATAAATTTCCTAAACCACATTAACGTAATTCTTGTTGTCTAAACCGTTTTTCTTGACATTTTTCCATTCAAGATTGGCCTTCTTTGACCCCAATGATGCGCACTGACTGAGAACGAGCAATCACAAGATTTAAAGTTGGAGCCTCATTGAATATTAAAACATAATCTAACGATACGAAAAAGTGAGAAAAAAATGCATTTATGAAAAAGTAGATATACTTTAGCCCATCATTTGCTGTTAAAGTTAAGTTTCTTTACCTCAACGTACTTCACAAACAAGAAGACAGTGAATATTTTTAATTGGTTAGGAATGGATGTATTGAGGTAAAAGGGATAAAATAAAGTTATAGTAATCAAGTGTAGTCATAACCTCGTCAAGTTCTTTCATTTCTTTAGTGAAAGCGAATAAATGAACGGGTCATGTCAGTAAATGAATTATTTAATTGAGAGACCGCTGACATAAAACTCAGCTGACTCACTGAAGGACTTACTGTGCAATTCACTGACTGAATGAATGAGTTAACCCTTTACATCCTTGTATCGGTAAGCATATTCTCCATACTGTTCTCTAAACATTTCCCAAGGTGCTGACAAGGAGAATTTGTCTGACAATCAAGAGCTTCTTTAATTGGTGATCAGTTCCTTTGTTCTCCTGACGTTAATGTTTGATTCAGGGGCGATGTGGTAAGGAGAAATTAGATGCCAGTCACTCTTAGGGATTGAAGGGTTAATGAAGGAATGAGTGACTGACGGACTGGAAGAATGAATGGGAAAATGAAACTTTTAAATAAAGAAAGAGAAAACGAAAGAGGCAACAAAGAAAAGGAGAAAGAAACAAAATAAAACCAAACAAACTTGTGAATATTCATAGAAGTAGAGACCTCAGCGAAAGTCGCTACTCGAACTCTCCTCCGGCGAGAGAGGTTCTCCCAAAGAATAGAACGGACGGATCAAGAACACATAAAAGTTGAAAAGCAAAATATACCTTGAGGGAATAAAAGAAAGAATAAGCATATATGTCAAAAAACGCAGACAAGAAATGTTTTAGCGTCAACATTCAGACGTTTACTCACATCTTTCACGTGTGTAACACATGTACAGTGTTTTTCACTTCTCTGACCTTGTCTTATTGGCATCTTCTAAATGTCTCATAACTTTTGTACTCGTGGGTTGGGAGAAGCGATGTGATGTAATCATGACAGGCACTAGCCCCCAGATCTCTTTGCGCTTTAAGCCTTTCATTTTCAAGATGGCGAATCCCTTTGTAGGAAGACATCAACCATTCGTTCCTCTCAAATGAGTGAAAGATAACACTATGACAACCAACTTACTTTACGGGAATTGCCGTAAAACATGGCCCAAAGCTTGGTGCGCGTTTGCAAATATTTGTGGGGACATAAGCTGCGCAATTTGGTTTGTTGTTTTGGTGCCACAAATATGGAAGAACTGGAAGCGTCGATCTGTGGAAGGACTTAGCATTCTTTGGGCCACTGCGAACTTCACAGCATCGCTGGCAAACGTTTTCTTCGCTTTTTCTGTTGCACTGCCTGTGTATATCAAAATATTAGCGGTATATATGCCCATTTTAGAGTTTTCCATACTACTACAGTTTTGTTATACTCTAAGCACACTATGCAGATGAAATTATCCTACGGCGCTTGTTGTTTTCTGATCTGGATTGCAGTGATCAGTTTAGACCTTTCCGTTGCCGATGCCGCGGAAAAAGTCCAGTGGTTGGCAATTGTTCTTTGGTCTATTGAGTCATTTCCGCAGGTAGGCAGTTCAATATAATTTATTAATTTGATCCAAGACAATACTGATTTAAATTAACCCACACGCGAACTGATTCGTGATATGTTACTCTTCGTCCATTATGAAAAATTTAGGCTTAGTTTCCCAATCTCGTCATCTTTTTTCGATACCAGACTGTCCTTCACTCTTTCTTTGCTACACACTTTGAATTTTAAATAACACGTGGGGCCAGTCTGTGCATCTGTGCAATTTAACTCCCCAGGAGGCTCCTTTAGGGAGGGGGGGGGAGGGGTTTCCAGGGAGCAATTCCTCTGTAGAGAAAAACAGGAATGTACCTGTTCTTAATTTAGCTCTATAGGTCCTTCATTCATTTCAAATGAGAGATGGGAAATGTGTTGATTCACAAAAAGTATCTTTCCAAATCAATGATAGGGTATGTTGCATAAATCATAGTGACATTCAGCCTCTGATTGGTGGATCTTTTACTGAATGGCATGGTATTTCAAAAGAAACTTTAATGCTGCATTGGTGGGAGAGTATAACAGGGTAATTTTAATAGTATTATCGACTGAGGTGATAATGTAAATTGGCCTCCATAAAGAGTTGAAAAGCTAATGTTTCAAGGGTTAGCAACATTCAGCCTCTCATTGGAGGATCTTTTACTGAATGGCATGGTATTGACCTGTGGGGCACTTAAAAACCTACTGTGGAGTAAGGGGTGGAGGGGGGGGGGTAAGTTTCAAAAGAAACTTTAACGCTGCATTGGTGGGATAGTATAACAAGGTAATTTTAATAGTATTATCAACTGAGGTGATAATGTAAATTAGCCTCTGTAAGGAGTTGAAAAGCTAATGTTTCAAGCATTAGCTGTTTGCCATTTGCTCTGATGAAGTGGAGTAAACTTTTTGTATTTGATTCTGTGTAACTAAACAACTAACCTGTATGTGTATGTGTATCAACTTCCTATATTGGAGTGTGACTGTGTAGATAGCTTGCAATACAGGTATCTTATCAGGGCAAGTTAAAGTTACAAGCTCACAATCATTTATCTGACCCACCAAGTTTGATTTGGAGTTAGAGTGGATGGCAGGGGGAGGGGGCATGGGAAAGGTAATGATATTTATCACCCCATCCCTACCCTCTCCTTCATTTTGACTGTCACTCAGCCCTTTGATACAAATTTGTTTGTCTTCCCAGCCTTCCACTGCTGTTAAAATTAAAGATGGTGGCTATAATTTTCACTAAAAAATCTAAGGAATATAATGGATTACATATGTTTACAAATGACATTAGGAAAAAACCAGGAACAAGTGTTTGTTGGGTTGTGGTTACCTTGTGAGTACTATAACCTTCAATCAATCAATCAATCAATTTATTTAACATGGTCAGAATGCTTAGCTAAAAGCTAGTTTACAGGTACGCCACGAAATAAAAAGAGAAAAGTATATAAATTTAAATAAATTAAGATTAAGAACTAGCTAATATTAAAATATAAGAATTTAACAATGTAGTCACCAAGTAAAATGTATAAAATGTAATCATTAAAAACAGTAAATATAATCAATGATAGATCCTCACCGCACTGGAGTCCCGTGAGATCTAATGTTTTTAAGTAATTTTTAAAAGTAGTACATGTTTGTATCTTTCGAGACTCGTCCGGTAAAGCGTTCTATAATTTCGATGCAGCATATCTCCATGATCTTAACCTGAAGGTTGTTGATTTTACTTTTGGGAGGTCCAGTATTGTGGTGCCCCTAAGGTTCTAAGTGGAGCACCTTACTGTTATGAGATCATGTAAGCTTTTTGGACCTGCATCACTGGCTAATATCTTAAAGACAGTGGACAATATTTTCGCTAATCGCTGTTCACGAAGACTTGAGAGACCGATACCCTTACAAAGATCCTCATAAGGCAAGGACTTGAACTCCCAGAAGTGATTAACATGCAAATTATCCCTCTGATATCCACACATTATCCAGCAATCAAGGGATGAGAATACTCAAAATTATCAAGTAGGTAGAATTTATCTTGAACTTACACCAAATTCTCATAACTTAGTGACAAGAAAAAGTGTAGCAGCTAGAGGAGAGAATTAACAATCAGGACCCAGTTGTTCATGAGGCAAATAATGCTATCCAGTGGATAACTGTAAGAAAAAAAACATACTGTGCTAACAGTGCTAGTTGTTTGTCCAAAGACAAAAGTTGGTTACCTGTGGCACCTATGCTCAGCTTGTAGTAAAGCCCTGCTGCAGATACATCTGAACACAAGCAGTTCACTCCACTTCACTGTCTCTCGCACTCCATTTAATTCTGTTCTTCCCCAAATGAGGGCAACTATTAAAGTCTATTCACACCATAGTTTCATTTTTGCTTGGTTCTCTTGACAAACCACAACTTGCCATCCATTTCTGATGAATCCAGGCACTCTGATGTATTGCATGCAACATTCTCTCCCTAAATGTTTGATGGTAGTCAGCAGTGGGTAGGGATCCTATGAGAAAATCCAGTATGCAGCAAATGATGTCCAATCTGTTGCAGAAATCAAAGCACAATTTTTATAGCTCTTTATTGTACAGTTCTAATTATCAGCAGCTGTTAGGGAAATCCAAGGGAGGATTGAAGAGGAGATGCAAAAGGAATAGACAGAAATCAACCCTGAATATCATTAGCAGTGAATACACAAACTGGTTTTTTTTCTGATCTCCATGACACACCTCCCAGTCCATGGCATTGCAGATTCAAACCTTCTGCCACTCATTAGTACCTTTGGGCATGGAGTGGTAAGGCGGGTGGGGTGGGGTCTGAAGAAAGAGGGAGTTGGGGTGGGAAGGAAGGTTGAGGGCCATACATTCATTACAATTTCACAATGTGGGGGGTGGGGTCTGAAGGAGGAAGGGGGGCGAGGTGCGAAGAAAGTTAAGGGGCCGTACAGACATCACAATTTCACTTCTAAAATGATTTTTATAGTTTACTTCCAGATTATTTTGAATATGCGTCGTCGCACAACAGATGGTCAGTCCACACTCTCTGTTGTAATTACACTTGTTGGTAAAACAACGGATTTCTTGGCAAATTATCTCCTGCTTTTGCCAGCACAATACGTTGTCATGACCTATTTTTCGTGTACCATGGCTTTTATCAATGGAATACAGGTAATCTTCTATAAATGAAAAGGCATTTCTTATAGAAAAACTTAAGATAAGTGAATTACTTTAGAAAAAAGCTAATTAACCGAAAAAAAACAAACAAAAAGTAGGGTTGGGAAAACAAAATCTCGAAACTTTGCGAATACAAAGCTTATTCAAGTACGGTTACCTTGCTGATTTGCCATTCTGTTTTGAGCTTTACCATAAAGTTTCTACGCTTTTAAAACACTGTGACATACTGGCTTGAGTGGTTGTTTTTAATTCGTATAAGACAACTTGATTTTGGTAGCATGCCACCTAATCGTTACAACAATCGCACTAGACACTCTTCTGTAGAGCAGCTAAAAGAAAACAACCGCAGCCTATGTAACGTCATTCCTTTTTTTTTTTTTTCCTTTGGAAAAATAGGTTATCTGGTACCCCAAGCTGCAACAGAAAACAAGTGTTGTCATGCCCACAACATACGGCAGGCACAGGAGTCCAGACGAGGATGCCTTCACTGTGGAAGCGAATGACTGCGAACAAGTTCCTCCGATGGCTGACGAGGGAAGCTCAGTTGATGAAGTCAACAGAGAATCTGTAGAAGAAATGACCTCCGTTTGCACATTTGTTGGACCGAATTTCGAATTTTGTGCAAGGTTGCGCGATATTCCGTTCTATCAGCGGGGTTTTATATTTCTTCTTATGCTGGCTCTGGTGGTTTTCAGCGTGTGCATTTGCGTGAACACTGAGTCTGCGCTGGGAATTTTCGCGCCAATTTCGGTCGCAGCTGTTCTTTTTTGTGCGTTTTTTGTATCGAAATTACCGCGAGGGCCGGTTGCAGTTCGCCAACTCTGTTTTGGCGTGGCTGGATCGCTGCTCCGTTAATAAACCCGTGCAGTACACGTGGCTGACACGTGATGATGATTGAAGAACACTTTAAGTTTTTCTTTGTTTTTTTTTTCTGGATGATAGCGGTATTTAAAATTAGAAATAATCGACCTTAGCGCCCGGCGAGTTCTCCTTGTCCACTTTTTGTACATTGTACGATTTGGCGGCCAAAAAGTGTCCCCAAAAAGCGCGCGGCCAAAACGATTATATTACGTAGCTGTAACGTAGAAAACTGTGAAGACACGTCGGCAACTATAATGGAGAGAGGAGAAATCCAGAGGAAAAGACGAACGTATTGCGTGGCCGGAGCGCCAAATGATATTAGCTACACGAAGAATACACATATACCGAGTATTCCTGTACACTACTTTCCAAAGGATATAGCTGTATGGCCAAAATGGATGCGTTTCGATCGTTGTCATCGAGGAGATTTTACTCTTCATTGTCAATGCCTTATGCTCCGTACCGGCTTCGAAGATGGCTGTTATGAACACATACCACTAGTAAAATCAGGGGAAGATAACCAATGAATTCAGCTAAAACAATAACGGTGAAGGGGCCTGTTCCCACACTGAACATTTGTTAAATGATAAAATTACAATTATAGTTAATCTACAATATCATAAGGGTTTCCTGTATTGGTGTCGGAAAGAAAAGGAATGGAAATATTATATTATTTTAAGTCATTTAATGTAAGTTATAAAAAGGGCAGGTTGACTACTTCGTATTCCTTCTTGGTGGTCTTATCTTAAAGGTTGAGTTTGATCAAGTTCTTCTTGTGAGTTTGGCCTCGTTCTCCTAGTGAGTTTAATCACGTTTTCTTCGTTGTGATCGTGAGGTTGACATGGAACTAGTGATAAGCCATGTTCTTAAATAAGTTAATTTGTTAGTCCAGGAAGAGTAAATCTCCCTGGTAATAGGTCGCGTTCGACACCTTCGTGTTCCCAGAGGTAATTTAAGGGTAAACAGGTGATACCCCTCATGTTTCGCAACCAAAAGTAATTTGGGGGCGGTGCTTGTGAGCGCCTTTCTTCTTTAACTCTTGTGACCAAGATGTTGTTATGTAACAATCTTTAAAGGTGATTTTCTCTTAAGATGCACTTTCAGGTATAAATAATACTCTGAACCAAGGTTATTTGTAATTTTTATATTATCGATCTCGTTTCTGTTCTGGCCGATCTCAACCGTAAAGATATGAAAATTAAGGTAGAAATTGATTTTGTAACTGCGTAAACAACCCTAAGGTGCATACTCAGTATGTGGGAACTACAATACGTAGTCAAGCGTGATTCGCTAGTTGAGATGGTACGATGACGACACAAGAAGATTGACGGCTTAGAAATGTCATCTGCAGTGTCACCTTTATAAGCGGAGATTCTAGTTTTCCCTGATATATTGGAGTTAGTCACCGTTGTAACAACTTGAGAAGAAAAGAGAATAAAGAAGAATCGACCAAACCAACAACGAGTTTTGGAGAATTTACTGCTAACAAGCATGATTGTTCAACGTTCTTTTCGGCTGGCATTTCGCAAGCGAAGAATGGTGATCTCCTTATTGTTATTTATTCCACGCGCTAGAGATGTACTTATATTCCTTGTCTTTCCGCATGACCACATTTGCGCTTTTCTTATCGTATGAAAATCGAACCAGTTGTAGTTTCCATCGTATTTTAATAACAGAACTATATCAAGTTCAAGCCCTTTCCTGAGCTGTCCGATCTCCTGTTTCGTGAACAGAGCGAAACCTCTGGCGGATGCTGGCATAAACAAGCTCGAAGCGGTTGTATATTCTCCTAACCTAGGTTTCCGAAAATCCATCCTACGAGATATCAGTTCTCCCTGCTCTTAAGAAACTAAAAGTAGCAACAGTAACAATGTCATTGTGACAACAGCGCCGCAACGAGATAAATAAAGAAACAAAAGTTTCAATTAATTAGATGGTAGCGAATCCAAGTGCTGTGTGAAAGTCGATGCATTTGAAATATTCATTTACCTAGTAGGCGAAATGGGTGATATGGCAATGCTGCCCTTAAACTGAAGAAGTTTTTCTCTGTTAAAATCCCTCTTTGAGATCAACTTGAATCAGAAAAAGCAGGAGATAATTTGCCAAGAAATCCGTTGTTTTACCAACAAGTGTAATTACAATAGACTGACCATCTGTTGTGCGATGACGCATATTCAAAATAATCTGGAATTAAACAAAAATCATTTTGGTGACCTAAAAGGGTAAAGGTCGACCGTTGGATCAAGCATCAAACATGATTCGTCGAACCAAATTCAGAGCACCCAAAACAAGCTTTCGATCTGCTGGATTTCAGACTAAGTAATTTATTAAGTTTGATATATGGAAAAGATCGAGATCTGTCCCACAGTCGATCTTCGCACATTCTATCCTTCCGAAGCAAACAGTCGATGTCGATGATCCAAATCAAGTGGACGAACTCTTCGGATTCACAAAGAAGACAGTGAATATTTTTAATTGGCTAGGAATGGATGTATTGAGGTGAAAGGGATAAAATAAAGTTATAGTAATCAAGTGTAGCCATAACCTCGTCAAGTTCTTTCATTGCTTTAGTGAAAGCGAATAAATGAACGGGTCATGTCAGTAAATGAATTATTTAATTGGGAGACCGCCGACATAAAACTAAGCTGACTCACTGAAGGACTCACTGTGCGATACACAGACTGAATGAATGAGTTAACCCTTTACACCCTTACATCAGTATGCATATTCTCCATACTGTTCTCTATACATTTCCTAAGGTGCTGCTGAGGAGAATTTGTCTGACAATCAGGAGCTTCTTTAGTTGGTGATCAGTTCCTTTGTTCTCCTGACGTTATGGTGATATGGGAGGAATGAGTGGGTGACTGATTGGAAGAATAAATGGGAAAATTAAACTTTAAATAAAGAAAGAGAAAACGAAAGACAGAGGCAACAAAGAAAAGGAGAAGGAAACAAAATAAAACCAAAAACACTCGTGAATATTCATAGAAGTAGAGACCTCAGAGAAAGTCGCAACTCAAACTCTCCTCTGGCGAGAGAGCTTCTTCTTAAGAACAGAACGGACGAATTAAGAACACATTGAAGTTGAAAAGCGAAATATACCTTGAAGGAATAAAAGAAAGAATAAGCATTTATGTCAAAAAACGAAGACGAGAAATGTTTTAGCGTCAACATTTAGACTCTCACTCACATCTTTCACGTCTGTAACACATGTACAGTGTTGTTCACTTTTCTGACTTTGTCTTATTGGCATCTTCTAAAAGTCTCTTAACTCTAGTGGATTTGGAGAAGCGATGTGATGTAATCATAACAGGCACTAGCTCCCAGATCTCTCTGCGCTTTGTACTTCCGCTTTCCATTTTCAAGATGGCGAATCCCTTTGTAGGAACAAGCGACTAAATACAGGAATGGCTCCGACCTGTGATTGCATGATAAAAATAGTAAAAGTTAATAAGTTATATCTTAACTCCTTGCTCGTGAGTATTGTTAACCGCGTGTCTCAAAGCAGAACAATGAAATATCAATGCGAGTGAAAACACCGATGTGTCAAACAAGAAATGATCACTTACGTAGCGAAGGGAAGGCAGCCTTTCTTGTTCAGCGAGGTCGTTCAGCGACATTCCGGCGATGAAAAAGTCATCTGCTGACTAAACTCATTTAGTCAGTTCAGGCGGACGACCAGAGACTGGAGCCATTCTAGCATTTCACCGCTGACAGGAATAGCTCTGACTAAAACGTTTATTAATTTTTTTTTCAATCATTTTTTAAATAATTTTTCAAACAATTTTTAAAAAAATTTTGAAAAAATTTAAACTAAACCAGTGAGCAGCGCTGTGCGAACAGTAGTTGTAAAACTTCTTTATTCTCTGACGCGTTTCGTCTAACTGTCGTAAACTTCTTCAGGGAGTTTTACAAGTCAACACTAAACGCCTATATTTATAAGCCATTGTTAGCGGCCATTGTGGGGGCCAATGACCATAAGGGCTTGGCTGGACCAACGAGGTACTTCGAAATAATTCAGTGCGAGAGCTACTGGTAAGACGATTTTTTGGTTTGGTTTGTTTTTTTCCTTTTTTGGGTCTAGTGGAGTTGTAAGAAATTATTAAGCAAAATTAATCCGCGACTTTCTTCCTTTAGATGTTGTGCAAAAAAAGACGAAGAGCCCGATGAATGGATTTGTCTTTCATGTGAATAATAACCTAGAAAATCAGTTTGCCACGAAAAAAACTCCCTCGATTACGGCCAAGCCATATTTCTCTAACAGAGCATATTGCAAATTAAAAACATCGGTCGCAGCGTCACGCAACATTGCGTGATTTTCCAAACGTGACATGCAGTTCTGCATTATTTTAAAACTTAGAAACTACATGGCCCTGTAGTAATAAAAGAGGGCTTCATTTGCAAGCACTGTAGACTTTAACATAAGAAGAACCTAATAAATCGCTCTTTCAGTTTTTATCTCAGTGTACAAATTATTTAGCCGGAACGAAAAAAAGATTAATATACGCATGAGTTGGAGCCATTCCTGTCTGCGGTGAAATACACGAATGGCTCCAGTCTCTAGTCGTCCTCCTAAAATGACTAAATGAGTTTTGCCAGCGGATGACTTTTTCATCGCCGGAGTATCGCTGAACGACCTCGCTGAACAAGATAGACTCTGCCTTCTCTTTGTTATGTAAGTAGCCATTTCTTGTTTGACACATCGGTGTTTTTACTCTGGTATTTCATTGTTCCGCTGCGGGACACGCGGTTAACAATACTCACGAGCAATGAGTTAAGACATAACTTATTAACTTTTACTATTTTTATCATCCAATCACAGGTCGGAGCCATTCCTGTATTTAGTCGCTAATTTTGTAGGATGACATCAAGTATCCGGTTTTCCTAAATGAGTGAAAGATAACAATATGAGAATCAACTTACTATTCGATAATTGCCGTAAAACATGGCCCAAAGATTTGTGCGCGTTTGCAAATGTTTGCGGTTACATAAGCTGCACAATTTGGTTTGTTGTTTTGGTGCCACAAATATGGAAGAACCGGAAGCGTCGATCTGTGGAAGGACTTAGCATTCTTTGGGCCACTGCGAACTTCACAGCCTCGCTAGCAAACTGTTTCTTCGCTTTTTCTGCTGTACTGCCTGTGTATATCAGAATATCAGCGGTATATATGCCCATTTTAGAGTTTTCCATACTACTACAGTTTTGGTTCTACTCCAAGCACACTATGCGAATGAGATTATCCTACGGCGCTTGTTGTTTTCTGATCTGGATTGCAGTGATCAGTTTAGAACTTTCCGTTTCCGATGCCGAAAGAAATGTCCAGTGGTTGGCAATTGTTCTTTGGTCTATTGAGTCATTTCCGCAGGTGAGCAGCTCAATATAACTAATTAATTTGATCTGAGACAGTACTGATTTAAAATAACCCACACGCGAACTAATTCGTGATATGTTACTCTTCGTCCATTATGAAAAATTTAGGCCTAGTTTCCTAATCTCGTCATATTTTTTCAATACCAGACTACCCCTCACTCTTTCTTTGCTACACACTCTGAATCTAAGATAATATGCAGGACCAATCTGTGCGATATAACTCCTTTATGGGTCCTTCACTCATTTCCAAGGAGAGATGAGCTAAGTGTTGATTCACTACAAGTATCTTTCCAAATCAGTGATAGGGTATGTTGCCTAAATCATAGCAACATTCAGCCTCTCATTGGAGGATTTATAACTGAATGGCATGGTATTGACCTGTGGGGCATTTAAAAACCTATTGTGGAGTAAGGGGGGGGGATGTAGGTTTCTTAAGAAACTGTGGCGCTGCATTGGTGGGAGAGTATAACAGGGTAATTTAGTATTATCAAATGAGTTGATAATGTAAATTGGCCTCCATTAAGAGTTGAAAAGCTAATGTTACAAGTGTTAGCTGTTTGCCATTTGCTCTGATGAAGTGGAGCAAACTTTTTTTATTTGATTCTGTGTAACTAACCAACTAACCTGTATTTGTATATGTAACTGACTTCCCTTATTAGAATGTGGTTGCACAGATAGCCTGCAATGCAGGTATCTTATCAGGGAAAGTTGAAGTTACCAGCTCACAATCATTTATCCGACCCACCAAGTTTGATTTGGAGTTAGAGTGGATAGCAGGGGGAGGGGCATGGGAGAGGCAATAATATTTATTACCCCATCCCTACCCTCTCCTTCATTTTGACCGTCACTCACCCCCTTGGTACAAGTTTCTTTCTCTACCCAGCCTTCCACTGCAGTTAAAATAAAAGATGGTAGCGATAATTTCCACTAAAAAACTGATGAATCTAATGGATTACAAATGTGTACAAGTGATATCAGGAAAAGAAATTAGCATCAAGTGTTTGTCAGGTTGTGGTTACCTTGTGATTACTGTATCCCTGAACTCCCAGAAGTGATTAATTTGTAACCTCTCCCTATAATATCCACACATTATCCAGCAAACAGGGTATGAGATACTCAAAATTATCAAGTATGTAGAATTTGTTATCTTGAACTTACACCAAATTCTCATAACTTAGTGACAAGAAAAAGTGTGCCAGCTAGAGGGAGGAATTAATAATCAGGGTTCAGTTTTTCATAGGGCAAATGACACTATCCAAGGGATAAATTGCTATCCAGCAGATAACTGTAAAAAAAAAAACAACAACACTGTGGTAACAATGCTAGTTGTCTGTCCAAAAACAATAGTTGGTTACCTGTGGCACCCATGCTCAGCTGTTGCATAGCCCTGCTGTAGGTGCATCTGAACACAAGCAGTTCGCTTCACTTCACTGTCTCTTGCACTCCATGTAATTCTGTTCTATCCCAAATGAGGACAACTAATTAAGTCTATTCACACCATAGTTTCATTTTTGCTAGGTTCTCTTGACAAACCACATCTTGCCATCCATTTCTGATGAACCCAGGCACTGTGACATATGGCATGCAACATTGTGTTTCTCTCCATAAATGTCCCATGTTAGTCAGAAGTGGGAAGCAATTCTAAGAGAATATCCAGTGTGCAGTGAATAATGTTTGATCTGTTGCAGAAATCAAAGCACAATTTTTATAGCTCTTAATATTACAGTCCCAGCTAATTACCAGCAGTTGTTAAGGAAATGCAATGGAGGATTGGAGAGGAGATGCAAAATAAAGACAGAAATCAACCCTGAATATCATTAGCAGTGAATACATAATCTGGTTTTTATTCTGGTCTCTACAACACACCTCCCACTCCACAGCATTGCAGATTCAAACCAACTCCCACTCTTAAGCCCTTTCCTGCATGAGGGAAATGCTAAATTTTTCTAAAATGAGAATGGTGAACTACAAGACCATGTATAATATATCACTTTATAGGTATTTTTTGGGGAATGCTGATGGACACCAACAGGTGTGGAGGTGGTAATTGAAATAACTGAGAAGTTTCCAAAGTGAAAATTGAAAATCGTTGAAATTTTTTGTTTGACTCATACATATACCACTAAACTATAGCCTAAATTGCAGCTCTCAGAGCATTGATTGTGGTGAGATATCACCTGAACCAGAACAGTACAAAGACAAAAAGTTCCAAAAGTTGCAGAAGTGGTGAACGAAGTCTTGTATTGGATGGGGCTATGATTTTATGCCTTCAATGTGCAGATCTTTCCATGACCTTTTAGTTTAATGTGGAAATTTTAGAAAAAAATGAATAGATATTGAGCATGTAATGGCATCCTATGCCATATGGCACTCTTGGGCTGGAAAGGGTTAGTACCTTTATGCATGGAGTGGTAACGGGTGCCGGGGGGGGGGGTCTGAAGGAGGAAGGGGGGGTAGGGTGGGGTCTGAAGGTCTGAAGGAGGAAGGGGGTAGGGTGGGGTCTGCAGAAGGAAGGGGTAGATACATACTTTACAATTTCATAATTTCTGAAATGATATTTATTTTTTAATTCCAGATTTATTTGAATATGCGTCTTCGCTCAACAGATGGTCAGTCCACACTCTCTGTTGTAATTACGCTTGTTGGTAAAACATTGGATTTCTTGCCAAATTACCTTCTGCTTTTGCCAGCACAATACGTTGTCATGACCTATTTTTCATGTACCATGGCTTTTATCAATGGAATACAGGTAATTTTCTATAAATGAAAAGGCATGTCTTACAGAAAAACGTAAGATAAGTGAATCACTTAAGAAAAAAAATCTAATAAACTGAAAAAAAAGTAGGGTTGGGAAAACAAAAACTTGAAACTTTGCGAATACAAAGCTTATTCAAGCAAGGTTATCTTGCTGATTTGCCATTCTGTTTTGAGCTTTACCATAAAGTTTCTACGCTTTTAAAACATTGTGACATACTGACTTGGGTGGTTGTTTTTAATTCGTATGAGACAACTTGATTCTGGAAGATGTTTGACCGCTGTGCTCCTCACGAGACACTCTTCTGTAGAGCTAAAAGAAAACAACCGCAGTTTACGTAACGTCAATCTTCTTTCTTTTTCTTTTTTTTTTTTTCGGAAAAATAGGTTATCTGGTACCCCAAGCTGCAACCGAAAAAAAGTGCTGTCATGAACACAACATACGGCAGCTTCAGAAGTCCGGACGAGGATGCCCTGGAAGCAAATGACTGCGAACAAGTTCCTCTGATGGCTGACGAGGAAAGCTCAGTGGAAGATGTCGACAGAGGATCTGTAGAAGAAATGGCCTCCATTTGCACATTTGTTGTACCGAATTTCGAATTTCGTGCAAGGTTGCACGATATTCCGCTCTATCAGCGGGGTTTTATATTTCTTCTTATGCTGGCTCTGGTGGTTTTCAGCGTGTGCATTTGCGTGAACACGGAGTCTGCGCTGGGAATTTTCGCGCCAATTTCGGTCGCAGTTTTTCTTTTTGGTGCGTTTTTGTATCGAAATTACCGCGAGGGCCGGTTGCAGTTCGCCAACTCTGTCTTATCTGTGGGTGGATAGCTGCTGCGCTGATAAACCTAACACGTGATGATGAATGAAGAACACTCTACTTAATGTCCATTCAAAGAAACTTAAAGAAGGACAGTCGCCTTTGTTGATAGGAATGGTTGAAGGGGAAATCCTGCACCCGAGCCTTCTTTATTTGTTTTGATTGAAAATGAGCATTACATTTTGATAAGAGTTGAAAAATGGGCTACGAGACTCGCATTGTAACAATTTCAAAATACTGCTCTGAAAGTTTCAAAACACGTGTTTTCGATTTGCTTTGCATTGTCTAAGGTGTCATTGTACAATTAATTTTAATGGTCAGTTTTTAAGGATGGACATTTTAGAGGCAGTTGAATCCATCAGAATGTCTTCAGTCTTCTGTATTTCACTGCTCATTTCTTGCAGACGCTACAAATTCTCTTGAACCGTGTGCACTTGCGCAGTAAGCTTTTCGAGAGCGTTCTGAATCTCTGCAAGTTCCTTATTGATGAGCGGTGAACTATTGGTTTTGTTACCCCCTGATAAATCAAAACAAAGATTGAACTTTAATCGATCTTCATGATATAATTTCAATTTAAGTCGTGGCGGAAAAATAAGTTTGAAACAATTGAAACAATACGTGCCTGCGAAAAGTTAGAGGGAGTTATTTTGATAACAGTAATAATAAAGGTTATAATAGTGATGATAATAATAATAACGATAATAATGATACTGTATTAAAAATGATGATAGCGTGAGCCATTCATTAATTAACACTTAATGTGTAGCAGGCTTAGAGAGATGATCAAAAAGAAGAGTGTGTTCTATGTCCATGAACTTGCGCGAACTGACCAGTGATACTCACTTGGAGAAGACTTGAAAAAACTGAAGTGGTTTCTTCGGTATAGAAATTCCCACAGAAGACCAGGGATCAGGAATGAAACAAAAATACACACGGAAGTGATCAACAGATGCTGATTGGCCCTTGAATGGATCGAAAGGACTCCAACTGTTTCTGTAGGGGAACCTAAAGGCTGAAAGGATTCAGAACGTCCTTTAGTCCAGCGACAGATTGAATTAGAAACTTGATATTGTATTGATTTTTTTTTACTAAGGGACCAGTCGACATAAATCGCAGGGGGGGGGACACAAGGTTTTAAGGAATGGAAGGAGGATCAGTCGCCACTGACAGAGTAAAAAGGGAGGAATTGTAATGAAAAAAAAAAATTACCGCCAATGAGGGTGAATCATAAGAATTTAGTACAGAGCCTTTTGGGAGGTGAGAGATGAGGTAAATCGTATCGTGGCGAGACCAAAACATTCCAAACCCTCTCCCACCCCCCACCCCCACCCCCTCCCTTCCCCACCTCCAAGTGGTAATGACCGGTTCCTTTAATTTAAACTGTGAGGTGAATTTAGTACGGACAATATTCTCAAAGTGTTAGGGAAAGGAGGATAGCAAGTAATGGTGATATATCACTAGGACTAACCTTCACCGGCATTATGTAGTGTTTCATTGTTCTATCCAAACGATGGCGGGAATTGACGAAGTATTCTGCAAGGCATCCATTCTTTCCCGTGAGCTCATGGTTTTCAGGGGGAACTGGAGTGTGTATAAGTCGTCGCCGACAGAGTATGAAAGGGGGACTATAAAGAGTTGACTGCCTTTTGGGGGAAGGAATCATATACGAATATTACGAAGCCTAACCGGAAAAAAAATCATTTCATTTCTCGATTTGTTTTAGAAACAATGTTAGGTATTTCTTCAGTCTGGAGTCCTGAGGGAAGGGCCGGTAGAACTGACACGCCTAAGCGGATATTCACTGCACTTTCACACCCAGAAGTGATTGGGAATTTGCCCCTCCACAATGCTACTCCTTCTGGGTAACATTCTAAATATGGGCCATCACAAGATTCTGAGTGAGCGCTAGAACACGCTTTCCTGGAATTATAATTTATTCTTTTGGCCTAACAACAATAGGAATAGAATTTCGCATAATTTATCGTTTTTTCATGCATGTTCGATACAAAAAAATAGATCTGATGGAGAAATGGTAACGTACTTTTCCGATGGAATAAGCAAAATGTTATTCTTACTTGTAACATAAGCCCCACGATGCCTCGCCTCCTTTTCAGCATCTGATCCGTTTATTGCTGCGAGCTTCGAAGGAAGAAAAAAATATATCGTCGGGAACACTATACGGAAGTAATTTGACAGCTAAGATGGATACTGTCCTATGTTCAAACATGATATGCTCGACTCTATGTTGTAAAATGAAATAGAGAGAAAAAACTGATAACCTAAGGACTTTTGCAATTTGGTTACCCCCCCCCCCCGCAGTTCTCTCGGTGCCCCTCACCACTCTAGAAGAACAAAGCCACTATTAAAGAAGCGACATGATTTCCGCTGACTCAAACCGGCGACCCCAAAAATTGCGACTGAAGTTGTTATTACATGCTGATGGTTTGGAAAGTGGCGCGGAAAGTAACTGACTGATCACAAGGGTACCTTAAGCTGTTCTTCTCCCGCCAATCACTAAGCGTACGTGGTTAAGAAAACCGCAGCTGAAAACTATCAACCAAATGATCTTAAGCTGGAGCAAAGGCAGAAAAACATTACTCACGCGTTTTCCTTGAGTACTTTTACAGCCTGGGTCAACAGACGAAACAGTGATGGCGCTGGTGATAGCAGCAGTGAAAATGGAAATAAGACAGACGCCGGTTAAAATCCAAACAACGGAGAAAAGTCGACCGTACATGGTCCGTGGAACTTTGTCACCGTACCTGAAACAATACGGTCAAAATTGCACTAGAGAAACGATAACTATGTTATGATAGTTTTGGCATTTTGTTATTTGGTTGATGAAAAGTTTCGCTAATTTAGGGGAAACCTGCAAGCCATTTTTTTCTGTGGTAGACAGACTGCTAACGAGGAGCACTAATAAAGTGAAAGGGAACGTGGGTGTGACAGGATAAGGAAGGTGTACAAGATGACCATAAACCACTTTAAAGATTTAAGGAAAACATTTCAGGGTACACATTCATTGTCCCCGGTGGTGTCGAATTGTAGTGAAGCATGTTGAACATCTAACGATCATCCAAGTTCAAGCTTCTTTCGCACTATTCTCGGACATAAAACCGTTTGAGTCCGTAAGCCGGAGCGAGAGAAATAATAATAAATAAGTCCAGGATTAAAAGGAGAAGCCTAAGAGAGTTCGACTTACAGTGGTAGGAATAAAACCTTTAATATACTTTGAAGGAGGAGCTTACAAGATAACAGGATAATATTTAAGAAAAGAGATATAGCTAATGTACGTCCTTTCCTGAAGGAAATTTGAACGTAGCCAGGAGCCCATTACCAATGGGCTCCTGAAGTAGCCTTGTATGATAAATCAGTCTTACCCAACAGTTGTCATGGTAACAAAAGCCCACCAGAATCCTTCTGTTGATCCACGCCCAAAGGAAGACGGGAAGTGATGATGGTTAGTGCTTGTTTCCTGCAGATAAAACGTCCTTTTAGTATTTGAGGGAATATCACAACTTCATACATAGAAAACGATCCCATCGCCTTTTTTTTAAAAGCTTGTATGTTTTCTGCTAGAATTACATACAGCTGTTTCAAATGGCTCTTAACGAAGCAAGAGGACGTTTGCACGTTTGCCAGCAGTATAGAGTTAGGCACCAGTCATTATTTGTCGGGGGGGGGAAGGGTTTTAAAGGGTTTAGGTTGTGTCACGATCGAATTAGACCTGATCCCCCCTAAGACTGTGCAACATTCTTATGACTCCATTAATTGCCAGGTAATTGACAGTAAATTTTCCATAGTCCGCCATTTATACTTGGTAGGCGACAACTGATTCCCCCTCTGTTGCCCCTTCAAAAATACTCCACCTTCCTTCCCCTCTCCCCCACGGGAGATAAATAATAACCAGTTCCTTACCAATGCCCATATGGAGATCCCTGAAATACCAGCCAAGAGTAAAATCACAGCGCAGACGGGCCAAGCAGACAGAATTGTGTTCGTAATAATCTTCTCAATCTTCGTCTTACAGGCATCGTAAGAGCATACAGAGCAACCAGATGGATATTAAAGGAAAGACTGCACGAATCCTCTTACAAAGAACGCTTAATTAAGTTGAATATGTTGCCTCTTTGTTATGACCGAGAGATCAAAGACTTAATATTTTTTTATAACTGTCTGTACGGAATATCGCCTATTGACGTTAACAACTTTGTTAACTTTGTTCCCCACAACCGCACAAGAAACTGTTTTAATCCGGAATTATTGCTGAAAACTCAGTCCTGTAAAACATCTTTATTTAAGGCCTCATATTTTAATAGAATTACAAAACTGTGGAATATTATGTGTAAAGTAGCTCCTCCGTCTTACTTAGGTACTCTTTCATCCTTTAAGAACTTTGTCACTAATCACTATTTTAATTTATTAGCAAATGTTTTCGATATTGACCAACCGTGTACCTGGTCAGTGTTTATAGACTGTTCCTGCCATAGAACTCATTCGCACTGACTTAAAACTTTGTAATATTTATTTATTTTTTATTCTGTAGGGAGTTTCCTTGCATGGGTACTCACGTCCCGTTCGTTACTCCCTTTTGGCAATTTTTTTTTTTTTTTTTTTTGTACGTGTAACTTCTCGTTTATTACTTCTGTAACTCAGTAGAATGCCAATAAAATTAATTAAAAAAAAAAAAAAAAAAAATCGTAATCAATGACTAACGCAAGACCAGGCGATTCTACGATAGTAAAAAGCGTGACGCGCCAGTTTCGTGATGTCGACAATTCTTCAGTCAACGACGAAAATAACGAAGGTGTTATCGGAATTGCGATGTCAGTTTTTTCTTCCAGAGTGAGGGAACTCAATTTTTCCTCGGAGAAAACCTCCTTCCAGTGCATCTTCGTCATATTGCAGGAGTAGCGGCGAAAACAGCGAATTAATCCCGCTTGCACAAAATCATAAATCAGGCCATGCCATTTTGTGCTATTGGCTTTCACGTATGGAGGGTTGTGGAGGAATGCTGCGCTGAAATTCGTGCTTGAAATTGGGCAATTTCCAATGCAACCTGATTTCAACGCGAAAACAGCCGTATTGTAGAGAAACAGAGAGAAAAAGTACAATTTTGATGCCTTAACTAAAGTTTGCCCCACAGCCATGTTGTTACCAGTATCAGGTTGCCGGGTCACACACATATTTACAGTAGGATTGTCACGCACGCAGAAGCATAGCAGAAGAACACCCAGGGAAGAGGGGCTACATGATTCTACTCATCCTACCCCCGTCCGTATAAAAGAGCCCAAAACAGCGAGTATGATTTCATGTTCCACATGAAGCGTGAAACTAATTCAAGATGGCCGCCGGTCACCAACGAAGAGACGAAGTGACAATAAACCATTCCTTTCCCTGGTTAAATTAAACAGCAAAGGAGAATTTAAGATGTCGATGAAGGTTTATTGTGCCTTAATCACCGCACAGCTTGGATTTGGGGCGTATGGCATTATCGTGACAAAGTTCGCCAAGGAAACTAAAGCAGATCCTTTAGTGTTCTGCCTGTTTCGTGATGCCGGAGCTTTTCCAGTCATGATGTGTGCTGCTTTTCTCGTTGAAGGAAAATTGAGTTTTCCTTCTCTCAGGTTAGAAAAATTACTTTTTCATAGCCAACCAAGCAGTGGAAGTGAGTCGTATTCTAAACTATGTCCCTAAAACATGAGACGAAGCCCAACTGAAACATTATTTTGAAAATAATTTCAAAATTATTTTTAATAACTGTAAGATTATGATGAAAATTTAGCTAAGCATCAAGCTTAAAATCAACAAAATTAAAAGTGCTAAGTCGAAGAACCAATTTTTGTGGCTCACTGTAATTTGCGAAACGAAACGAAAATCTGTAAATATGCTAATTTTTTTTACTCAGAGGTTGACCGATTTTCAATAAGACTTAGGATAAGTTAACTTTAAAAGAGAATTATGGTAGAACAAATGTCTTAAAAAATAAAATCATGGAATATATGATAGTAGGAATCTGTAGCCTAGAGAAATTCGCGGTTCTGCTGAGTTAAATATTAAGACTAGAGCTAAGACTTAAGAGCTAAGAAATTCCTGTTAAAGTTATGAGTACTTTGATCTGATGATTTCTGTCTGTCCTGTTTTCTGGATGTTACACATGTTTGTGCCAGGCAGAGATACCTCGAATATCACTTTGTGGTAATCTCTTTTATTGGATAATCTATAGATATTTTTACATCTGATTCATAGATCTACATTCGATTTAAATTCTGACTCAGAGTTTTTGAGGATTATTTCATCTATCCATCTAATTATTCATAGTTTTATATAGTTTTTAGACATATATGTTTTTTTATTATGGTGATCCATCTTTGTATGGGGTCTATAACTTCTTTAAGGATTATCCATTGGCTGTACTACCTATCATTAATAATTATTTTAGTTTAGCCATTTTGTAATGTATATGCCATGTATTTCAATAAGTAAATAAATATTTTTGCAAATCATTAGCATATTTCCATTTCACTTTACATATTTCTAGAAATCTGTAATTTGCAAAAAGGAAATATGCTTATGATTTAAAAATCTGTATGGTGAACTTTACAAAATTTTTACAACATTTGTGAATAACTCAAAGTGTCGTTTAGGCAATAGTACACAAAAGCAATTTGAAATGTGAGTTGACACTGTAGCAGTACTGTCCACAAGGTAAAGACTACACACATAAGGTGTAATCAATGTATGTTGTCGATCAATAATTCAAAGGCATGACATAACACTTACCTGACCAGAAATGGACTTGGAAAGTGTCGCAGCATGTTTCTAGATGAAATATCATGTTTACTAGAAAAATGTAACTGACCCAAGCTCTTTTATTTTCTTCAGTCTCTTTTTTTTGCAAATTGCAGATTTCTGTTTTGCAAATCATTTGAATATTTTCATGTTGCAAATTACAGATAAATCTGTAATTTGAAATTTCTATTCGGCAAATCATTAGAATATTTCCATTTTGCAAATTACAGATTTTCATTTTGTTTCATTTCACAAATTACAGTGGGCCTTTATTTTTTGTGGTATTTCTAGAAAAACAAGCAGAATAGTCCTCTTAACCATGAACTCCTAAGATCTCATCATCAATTCTCCTTACTGTCTGCGATACAATTGTTGTGGTATTAGTTTGGAGAATGTACTATAGGATCAACTAAAAATTCCCTAACTTATACTTTTGTTTATTCTCATTACTTGTAAAATTGTAAGGTGAAAATTTGTTGTGGTCGCTCCAGGGAGTTAATCCTTTAGCTCCAAAGAGTGACTAGCATTTAATTCCTCCTGACAATATCAGCCTTGAATCAAATTTTAAGGTCACAGGAATAAAGGAAATGATCACCAACTAAAGAGGCTTTTGATGGTGAAACAAATTCTCCTTGCCAGCAACTTTAGAAATGTATAGAGAACAGTATTGAGAATAAACATGATGATGTTGAGTTTAAAGGGTAAAAGCTGTTCCAGCCGCTTCAAAAATAATTATTAAATAACTGTTCCAATTTTCATTCTTTTTTGTAGAAGCATACCTTTGCTGATGGTTCTTGGCCTCACAGGACCATTTATTCCTCAGCTTCTTTTCCTCCTTGGTGTTTATTTAACATCAGCTAACATGGCTGCTATGTTCCAGCCTGCAGTGCCTGTGTGGAGTGCTTTCCTCGCAATGATGACTGGTGTGGAACCACCTCCGAAGCTAACAACAAGTCATGGATGCGCTAAAGTTTTTGGAATTTTATTAGCAGTTTGTGGTGCTATGACAATGACGTTAGGAAAACTACATGATACTTCCAGTGAAAATTCCTGGCTTTTACAAGATTCATCTATCGGGAGTCAGTTTCTGGGTTGCATTTGTCTCTTTGTGAAAACCTCCAGCACAGCCGTGTACTACATTATTCAGAAGAAATATATTTTTAATCAATCCCACTCAACTTGGAAGAAACAACCCTTGGCTGTTACAGCTTGGAGTTACTTTTTTGCTACAATTTTTCTGGCATTTGCTTCATTAACTTATTCAAATCAACCAGAAAAGTTCACAAGTTTTACAAAGGAAACATTCTATTGCTTACTGTATGCAATTGTGGTCTCCTCAACAATGTGTTATCTGCTTCTTTCTTGGTGTAACATGCAGGCACCATCCACTCTTGTTACCTGCTCCTGGCCTCTTCAATCTTTATTTTGTGCACTTTTGTCCATGATATGTTTAGGACAATCGCTGCAGCTTCTGGAATGTGCTGGTGGTGGGTTGATAATCAGTGGTCTGGCCACAGTTTTGTGGTCAACTTACAAAGAGAGTGAAGAATTACGTTTGCATTTGAAAAATGAGAAGACACTCTGTTAGGAGAAGTATGACAACAGGTAGCCCAAGCTCCCAAAATGAGCCTCCCTGAATATACAAATATGTTGACATTGTGCAATGGCTGAAATATGAGAATTTTTATGAGAATTTTTATGGGAATAAACAGTTGCCTTTGTGACCTTAAAAAAACTGAACCTAAAAATTATTTTACGGGCAAAGCAGCTGAACTAAAATGGAACTAAACACCCCTACATTAGCCTAAGATACTCTCATGATGCAAAGGAACAACCTTATATTTCAGCCATTGGGTAACATTTACATATTTGTACTGTATATTTACTGAGGCTCATTTTGCTAGCTTGGGCTACTTTTGGTAAAATTCTCTTTTCAAATAATGAAATGAAAAACAGGAACTAGTCACTAGTTACCCTTTCACTCCCATGAGTGATCAAAAAGAAATTTATCCTTATAATTTTGATACATATTTAAACCTTAGGATAGTGTTTGATTTAGCACCAAATTCTCAAAGCCAAAATTATTGGCAATGTATGGAGAACAGTGCAGAGAAAGTGATATTTTGATCTTGGGAGTGAAAGGGTTGATGCAATCGAATTTGTTCACATAACAACTTCACCATTTCTTCCTTGGTATGCAAATCTCAAAACTGGCTATTATCGATGAAACTTATTTACATTGACTCAAAACTGTAAAAAGTACTACACTGTATTTACATTTGGGTTTCACTATTAACCTAAGGTGCTCTGCATAGCTGAGAGTAAACTTTATGTAAAAATGTCTCAGTATGAGGGAATTTAATTTGTAAGTATGTTAAAAAGGATACATGATATCCCTCCTAAGGATTTAATTAAATACAAATAATATTAGGGAATAAATAGGGAAAAGTTGAAATGATTGATTTTCAAAGTTTTTCATGTGTTAGAAATGCTAGTGTCAAATACTCCTAATTTCACATGTATTGTTTTCCTGTTTCTTAATGATACACTTGCCATCCTTAAACCCTTCACATTCTTACATTGGTATTTATATTCTTCACACTGTTTTCTTTGTATTTCCTGTGGCAATGACAAGGAGAATTTGTGTGGCAATCAAAAGCTTCTTGAATTGGAGATCATTTTCTTTATTTTCATCATCTTTATTTGTTGAGGTTGATACTGTAAGGAGAAATTAGATGCTAGTTGCTCTTAGGTGTCAAAGGATTAAACATGAGTATTGGCATTTACATAAACTGCAGTCAATACAATGAACGAATTGACAACATACAAAACCTGTCACAATAAAAGTTTAAAAAAATATTTTGATTCAAATTTGTTTCAACCCTAAAACGCCTTGTTACCTGAAACTGGCAAAAAAAAAGGTAGTGGTTGTTGCCTTTCTCTTTACTGGGTTCCCACTATGAATTTCATGCTTGTAGTTATGTTATGTTATGAGGGACACAGTTTCAGCATTTTATTTCATTTAACAGCTCCCTCGACAACGTGAACTTGCTGCACTCCGCAAGGAAGCACTTAGCCTCACTCTGACTCTGAGTCTCAAGTAGTAACTGCACTTTATCCTTAAACTTGTAAGGCAACAGGAATCGGGAATCTTTGTTTGAGCACAGGTGACCCAAGCTCCAGCTGTGAGGTGATCATCTTGCGAAATAAGAGTCGTGGCAAAATCATAAGAGTTTGAATGGGAATATTTACGACCGCTTCTAGGAATGAAAAAACATAGTCAAATCTCACTTAAAATACCTCACCTTTCTTCCCCAGTGTGCCTGTTATCTGCCCGTTTATTAGAAATGGGTAACTCGCTAAAATGGGTTCTTTTCAACATAGTAAGCGGTCAGATAGCAAGCGATGCACTGTGGAAGTAAGGAGAGGTATTTTTATTGGAAATTTGACTGTACTTTTTGTTCGTAAGAGCGGTCGTAAATATTTCCATACAAACTCTTACGGATTTGGCCATGACTCTGTAGCTTGGGCTACCTGTGGTTTGAGGAACTTTCGGAGAAGTGATGCAGGTACGTTAAATTACAGCGGTGACTAAATTGTTGTGAAGAGCATTTGAAGCACTGATCATCCCCAAAAACACAAGACTTGTTTGACGTGGAAAAATTTGTCTGACTCTGCTCATATTAGATACTTAATAGAATCACTATACTTAGGAGATCAACTCCATTCTTGTTGATAAATCTTCGATAAGTTGCAATCGTCCGTTGCGCCATATTGTTTTCAGTCAGCGGAAGAATAATGATCGTTTGTTGGCCATCACTCTTCAAGATTAGGTTAAAGCACTCAGTGGCGGATCTAGGAGAGGCCCCCCCTCTCCTTATTTTGGGTAAAAAAAAAAAAAAATCTCAGAAGGAAGAAAAGCCGGTTGGGCATGGGACAAAAAACCGCCGCCCTCCCCCCTTAGCTCAAGGTCTGGATCCGCCATTGGTACTATCAATTTTGCGTTCGAAGTCAACATGTCAGGAAAGTGCTTGGTCATTGTAGGTTCTCTCTGCTTCTGCCTCCTGACTCTTGCATCCTTTACGTATATTGAAGATACTAAAATATGCCGTCTATATTCCCGACAAAGTTGTACAACTATGTCGTTCCCGACAGTCTCGGGAATGGTTTGCAATCTCCATCCAACATATGGAGATGATTATCTTCCTTCGCTGGAATCGTTTCTACACGCGTCAACAACTAACAAAGACCAAGATATTCGTTTGAGTGACTTAGCAGTGGTTTCCAGATTGGCTAATGCACGTCAACCTGTAGTTGATGTAAGCAAGTCAAGCCGAATACATGTCGACAAAATCGCTCTCGTCACGCCTAATGATGATACAGTATTTTCGTGTGGAGATCTAGCACTTAATGCACAGAACGCTGGATACTCTGTGGTGACATATTTTGGCGACGGACATTGTGGACCAGATGGAAATGTAACAAAACCTCATACTCGAGAGGAGATATTGATTCCCATTGTGTTTGCTGAGAATTGTGCCAATCACACCACTCCAGACTTTAACAATCTTGTTAATGATTATGATTTCCTTAAAAATGCTGACAAAACATATGTAAATATCATAGAAACTAAACAAGGGTCTGATGAGCTCAGACAGATGGCCAAATAACAACTAACTCCGGAAAATAACACCACAAACAACAGCAAGCCCTAACCGCGATGAGAACACTCATGGATCACACAGCGCAGCAGAACTCATTTTGTTCGTTTGTTTTTTTTCTCCGATAATATTGGCCTGTAAAGAAATATATAACGGAGTTTTTTCCACCCTCCGCCGGTGTCACAGCGGATTTGGACCCCCTCGGTCCAAATTCGCTAGCGGATATGGACTCCCCTTCACAGATTTGGACCCCACTACCAAACTTTCCTTTTGAGCATCCTTTGTATCATATTTGGTGACTAATTCTATTTGCAAGCTTTTTTGTCGATGTTCTTTTCAATCACAACACAACATTTCCTAAATAAAGGTAGAAAAAAAAACCAGCCTTTTCGTTCCAATTCTACCGCATTCATTATAGCGAGTCGTACAGTGTACGCAAGAATTAGATGTGAACAAACTACTGCATTCGAACTATTGAAATTGTTACAATAAATCTTTGCTTCTTCTGATGCGAATCAACATTGGTACGAAACGTCATAATGATAGTGGAGACTATTGCGTCCAGTCACAAAGATAAGTCAGTCTGATTTTCTAAAATGATAACATTAAACAGTTTTTGAACAAGAACGAAGAAACTACTCGTATTACAAGTCTTCGTAAAGCCTATGATAAGTAAAAATGTTTCTATTCTGAACTATTGGAACTCTCAGCTTATTTTCAGATGCAAATCAACATCAATGTCAACGTCTTAACAAAAGTGGAGACTATTACATCGAACTCAATCTTATTTTCTAATTTTAACGATTATTAACTGTTTAGGGATCCGAAATAACACCTTAACAATTACGAAGACGTCTAGAGTCTGGCAATCTGCAGACAATGCAGAGCCACTCGCCCTTCGGGGCAGTCTTAAATCCCTCACAGCTCATGTGTAACCTTTCCTCGCACAACTCACACTGTACCATGTCGTCCCAAAACTCGGGCATTGAACAATGACAAAATAAATTAGTGTCACAAGTTTGTCTCTTATTGAATCTAGCGGTGTTTGACTATCGCGGAAAAGGTTCAAAAACGACCTCTCTCCAGACATTAAAATAAATTATTGCCCATTTTCCCTTGGTCAAAAGAAACATCCGATGGGATGCCAGTTCGTATGCATTAACGATACGCATGTTTTGAATTAAAAACATACTTTAATACGCACTGAAACGTAAAGAGTCATCCCTTTTTACTAGAACGTTAAAGATGATGTTTTCACTCAGTTTTGTTGGGGGGTCCATATCCGCTAGCGGATTTGGACCGGGGGATCCAAATCTAGGGGGGTCCAAATCCGCTGGGGACACCGGCACCACATAATTGGCTAAATGCTAAGGAAGTAAAAGTTTTTTTCCTGCTGGGGTTTCCTGGCGCGCCGCTGCGAACACAGCTAACCTCATGTATTAGGCTGCGAGAAAATAAAAAAAGACAATTAGAAAAAGTTCTTTACTCACAAATCTCTTTTACAATCTATGACCGATTTTACATTTCGTGTCTGAAGTTGATTATTAGGCAAGTTGAGAGTAGTGTTGGAAATGTAAATGCAATTTGATACGTTACGAGAAGAGGTATTTTACTCGTTGGTAATTTTATTCCTAAATTCGTTATTTATTTTTAATTGAAACATCACGGGATATGAGGACAGACACCTCCAAGGCAAACACAACATCGACGGAAAAATTACCTGTCAACGAAACGTGCACTTATGATATGTAATTAAGTTCAGGTTGGTTGGTCATCTCAACAGGAGAACTATTTTTTTTTATTAAAAGAAACATTGCTTTTTCATCACGACTTTTCGTGGTTAACGTTCAATTAAATCCGCAAAGGAAAAAAATCAAGACGAGTAAATTTAATTATGTCGCGATTCATACTCAAAATTAGTTTGTCATAAGATGAAAACGCACAGTCTAAAATGAAGCAACTCCCCAAGAAAGACAGAACCAAATAAAAAAAAAGGAAAGGTTTTGCCTTCAGCGAGTAACAACAGCCCAAATATGACTGACTACCCAAGAGAGACAGAGCCAGGTGAAAAAAAAGGAAAGGTTTTGCCTTCAGATAACAACAGCCCAAATATGACTGACTACCCAAGAGAGACAGAACCAGGTGGAAAAAAAGGAAAGATTCTGCCTTCAGATAACAACAGCCCAAAAGGGACTGACTACCCAAGAGAGACAGAACCAGGTGGAAAAAAAAAAGGAAAGGTTCTGCCTTCAGATAACAACAGCCCAAATATGACTGACTACCCAAGAGAGACAGAGCCAGGTAAAAAAAAAGGAAAGGTTCTGCCTTCAGATAACCACAGCCCAAATAGGACTGACTACCCGAGAGAGACAGAACCAGGTGAAAAAAAAAGGAAAGGTTCTGCCTTCAGATAACCACAGCCCAAATAGGACTGACCACCCGAGAGAGACAGAACCAGGCGAAAAAAAAAGGAAAGATTCTGCCTTCAGATAACAACAGCTCACATACGAGTGATTACCCAAGAGAGACAGAACTAACTGAACCGGGAGAGAAAACCGGGAAAAAAATTTAAAAATGAAGGTTCTTTCCTCACGGAGATAAGTCAGGCAATTAAAGACTGATTACCCGAGAGAGTGGATAAGAAATAACAAAAGAACGAGAGCATCTTTAGGATTCTGCTTTCGAAACTGCGAAATAGTACAATGCGATTAGTTAGAAAACACACTAACCTGCCAAGAGCGCGTCATCTTATAAGGAAGGAGTATTTGAGCTGTAATGTCAGAGTTCATTCCATAATCAGTTCATCTTGCTCATGTTAGGTTTCAACAGTTGGATAATACACCGTGTGATTTTAAGCATCTGTCATCTACCTATCACAGAAATAACTCCTTCTCTTGCTTCGAAAGCACAGAAGTAAAGGTAAACCTTGCTTTGCTGATTAAACAGTTTGGGCATCATCATTTTCCGCTCAAAGGTCATTAAGCAGCGAGATTTATCGCGCGTCATCATATAGCTCTAGACAGAAATTACTTCCTCCCGAAGTAATACACAGTTAAGACCTTACCTTAAGGAAAGAACGATGGCCCCTTTTCGCAGATACCGCCGAATACACTCGTACCTTCGCACAGAATTTTCGCAAGATAAGTTCCCGCGCTTACCTGATGATTGGGACCTAC